CACCCCAGGGAACAGGTGGGACATGGCAACAGCCTCACCTGCCTAACTCCAGCCTGCCCTCTCTGCCCGTGTGCTGTCCAGCCAGGGCTCAGCCACCGCTGTCCCTCCTGGTCACAGCACGCAGGAAGGAAACAGGATTTGTCCCAGCTTGCAGAGACCACACGGGATGAACACAGCTCCCATGGGGTCAGGTTTTCCCAGACAGAAGCATTTACCCAGCATTAAATCACTCGTCATGTGTGCTGGGGAATATGTCCTCACCTCCTCCTGGCTGCCACACACAGGCTCAGTCACCACCAGCCAGCGGCTGTGCCGGAAAGCCATGGCTGGGACCTCCTGGAGCTGGCCCTGGCACAGGGCTCTGGCTGAGGAGTGGGGTCCTGGAGCCAGACAGAAGCTGGCAAGGGCTGGGAGAGGGAGGCAGGGACAGGGCCCGACACAAGGTGCCCAGACCCACAACCACGGGAGAGGGTCAGGAGGGCAGCCACCCGCTCCCTCGCTTCCTGAGAGTCCCGTCCCGTGCGTGCTGCGGGTCCTGGGTGAGCAGAGAGGCTCTTTGCTGCCGCTGGAGCCGGGAGCCATGTCCAACCCTTCGGAAAGCCCAGCCTCAGCCCAGCCCCCCGATCCCAGCCTCTTCCCTGGAATGCGGAGCCCCCCGGACAGAGCCCCCAGACAAAGTGTTTACTGTACGAGCTGTGCATTAACCGCTTCCCGGCCGCCGGGAACGCTCCCCGGCACCCGCTCAGCCCCGGGGCCACAGCCACGGCCGGGGGCACCTGCTCCCTATGGCCCTGCCCCCAAGTAGGCATTTAATTCCCTTCTGCTGATCCATCAGAGGCCAGGGTGCCCTCGCTGTGCAGGAGTGATGGAGCCTGCAGCCCCCAGCCCCACACTCCCACTGACTCTAGGCTGCTGGAGTGGGTCAGAGACCCACAACTGGATGTCCCACCAGACCAAGCAATGTGCTGTGGGTGTCCTGCCCGCATCCCACCGGGCTGTCCTGGACACGGGGTTCCCAGTGCCCTCTTGCCCATCCTGCCACCTGTGACACCACCGGCCATCACGGTGCCCGGTGGGTGACCTGGCTCCCACGGCCACCCACCCATCCCCAGCCAGGCCAAAACACCGCGGGAAGGAAGGGAAAAAATGCAAGTCTGTTTCCTAAAGGCTCTGGGAAAAAATGTTGCATTACACGGGGCACAGCCAAAACCAACAGGGCTTGGCAGCGTGGCGCAGCCCCGGGCCAGGGAGCCCAGACAGCTCCTGCAGGATGTGGGATGAGGACAGACAGGCAGAGCAGGGGGGCTCTGCAATGGACCCCATGCCAAGCACTCTGGGAGAGCTCCTGTCCCTGCAGGGGGGCAGCTGGAGGGGCCCATCCACAAAGGGCACTTCTCACGCTGGGGATACTGGCAGAGCTGCCATGGACCAGCCAGGCAAGGAGGGAATGGAGCTGGGATCCAGCCCTCACGGTGGATAGGGACAGACACTGCTCTAGTCCCTTCTGCCCCACAGGGGCAGGTCACTCTGTGTGGGGACCTAGGGCCAGGCAATCACCCTGTAGTGGAATGCTGCTCCCCAGCTTCAGGAGACATGGTCCTGGTCACAGCCTACAGGATATGAAAGGGGGAGCATGGCATACAGACCGACAGATGGACCAGGTCCCCACACTCATCCCCCAGGAGAGGCCCCATTCCCACAGACCTGCACAGCTCTGGGCTGGGCTCCCACTGTCGGCTCCAATCCTGGCCCCCAGACCCTGCCTGAGCACCAGGGGGATGGCAGGGGGCCACAATCAACACCTGCAAGGGGGTCCTGGGGCAGACAGTCATAGGCAGAAAGTACAGGAAGCAGCTCCTTCAGCCCAGCCCTGCCTGCACCCCACTGTCCTGCCTGGACAGACACAGCTCCCGGCAGAGCCCGGCACAGCGCCCGGCCGGACCTGCCTGAGAGGGAAGCAGGTGCCCCGCGGCCTCTTTCCTGTTTCCTCCCAGCAGTGCAGGCAGAGCTCTCAGCAGCATCCCAGGGAAGGGGCAGCGCAGGGGCCTCTGTGCAACAGGAGCTTCCCCAGCAGCTGGGACGCGTCCCCGGGGGCCGTGGGTGTCTGCAGGACTCCAGGCTGCCCCTTGGTCCAGGGGCACGTTGCAGCCAGGGGGGCAGAGCAAGTGGTTCCCCACTCCAGCACGTGTGGTGCCACTTGATCGTGGCACTGCTGTGTCCACAGTGGGTAAGGATGGCACAAACGTCAGCCACGTGTACCAGGGCTCCTTCAGCTCTGCTCCCTCCCTGGGACATGCTCCCTGCATTCCCATCCCTGGGCTGTCCCGTCCCATCCTGCCTCTTAGGGTCATGGAATGGTTTGCGTTGGAAGAGACTTTAAAGACCAACTACCAGACCAGGTTGCTCCAAGCCCCGTCCTGCCTGGCTTCGAACACTTCCAGGGATGAGACATCCAGAAATACTCTGGGCAACCTGTGCCAGTGCCTCTCCACCCTCACAGGGAAGGATTTCTTCCTATCATCTAATTTAAATCTCCCTGTTTTAGTTTAAAACCCTTCCCTTTGCCCTGTAACAACCTACCCATGTAAAAGTCACTCTTCATCATTTTTACGAGCTCCCTCTAAGTGTGGAAAGGTCCTTGACGAGCCCCGTCCCGCAGCCCCAGCTCTCGTCGAGTGATCAGGGAGCGAACTGGTGCCAACAGGGGGTTGTGCCACTACCATTGTCAGGGAAAAGGACCCCCGGGCACCCACCCCGGGTACCCACCCCGGGCACCCACCCACGGCCGCCACTCCGCCGCCTCACCTGGGGGGTGGAGGCTCTCCTGGATGGCCTCGACGTCGGCCAGGTCGGTGCAGATGCCCTGGCCGTGCATGAGGGTGCGGAGGGGCCGGGGCTCTCCGCGGGGCGGGTAGCAGCGCAGCCCCGCTCCGCAGCGCGCGGTGTACACGCCGCAGGGGGTGCCGCGGGGCAGCGCGCAGGTCGCGCAGCACCCGCAGCCCGGCTCCCGCACCAGCTCCGCGCAGCCCTGCGGCGCCTTGCACCGCGCCAGCCGCTCCTCCGAGCACGGCGGGCACTGGATCGCCTCCTCGCCGCCGCCCGGCCGCGCCGCCGCCGCCAGCAGCGCCAGCACCACCGGCAGCACCGGCAGCGCCGGCAGCCCCGGCCCCGGGCGCATGGCGGCCCCGCTCCGGCCCCGCTCCGCGGCGCTCGGCTGGCGGCGGGCGCGGGGCGGCGGCGGCCGCTTTATGCGGCTTTATGCGGCCCCTGGCCACACCTCCCGCCGCCGCCACCGGGGCCACCGGCGGGGCCGCCCCCGCCGCCACCGGGGACCCACCGGGCAGCGACGCTCCCCCCGGCGGCGGCCGCACCGGCACCGGCACCGGCGGCGGCTTCAGCAGCGGGGCCACCGGCGGGGCGGCTCCGGCGCCGGGCAGAGCGGAGAGCCGGCCTGGAGCCCTCCCGGCCCCGCGCCTCTTCGCAGACCACCCGCCGCCCCGACACCCTGCTCGGTCCCGAGAGCAGCTGGGATAAACTGGGGACACACACACCCCATGAGGGGCTGCACCGCGGGGGATGCGGGCAAGAACCCCGAGGTGGGCTCCGGACGCGGGGGGCCCCGGCGGGACCAAAAGCGTTGCTGGCAACGGAGCATCCCGGGCGGTTCGGCCCCGGTCTGTACGGGACGGCCCCGCCGGGTCCCCGCGCCCACCTGCCCCCGGTTCCCGCACCCGCGGCCCCCGCCCCGCACAGTCCGAGATAGGTTGAAGGCTGCCGGCACCTAGTGGCTACTCGGGAAAAGCGGGAGCGGGCGGGACCCCAGGGAGCCCCGCCATCCCCCCGGGACCCCGGTCCCGCCAGTCCCCGCAGCACCGGGCGGGGGCGGCACGGCGGGAGGCCGGGAGATGGCGGGGAGCGGTCCCTGTGCCCGGGGGGAGGTCCCCGAGCTGTTGACCCCCGAGCTGCGCCCTGGGGCATCTGAGCCAGCACCGGGCTTGGGACAGCCGGGGGAACCCGTCTGGGTGCAGCAAGGGGGTCGTGGGCACTGCAGGGAGGTCTTGGACATGTTGGGGGTGGCCATGTGGGGCCCTGGTGTGGGGGTCAGTGTGGTGGGTGGGACAAGAGAAGCAGAGCCGCCTGGAATGCAGGGCCTGGGCTGAGAACTCCCAACTTGTGTCATGGGTGAGCACATCTAATGCTCAAACTGGAATTTTGAGGCTTGAGTGCCAGCACGGGTGGCACTGGTGGCACTGCCACAGGTGCTCTCAGGACAATCTTCTCTCTCCTGTGCAGGTGAGCTGGACAGCACCAAGGGCAGGCACGACAGGGACAGGCAGGTTCTCTGTCCCCCACTCTCCCCAGCCCCCCTTCTCCCCTCTCAGCCCCAGCAGGGGCCCCATAAGGCATCGTCACATGGTGCTGCTCTGAGCCCCTGCCCTGCCTGGCACTGTGGCCATGACTCAGGGCAGAGGCACCAGCCTTGACTCGGTGTCCCAGTAGGGACCAAACCCAAACAGGTGCCCGGCCCCGCTCAGGCTGCAGCACCTTATCAGGCCTTGGCAGTGCCGCGCGCCTGCTGGGGAGTCTGTTGTGTCTGCGGACAGAGGCAGCGCCAGCGTCCCCTCCTCTGCCCAGGCACTGCTCCTCCAGGTCCCTGTCCCAGCACCATCCTGTGAGATGGAGCGGGGCTGGGCTGGTGCCCCCCACAGCCGTGCTGCCCCCACCCCAACCACAGCCCTGTGGCCACAGCGGGGGCTCAGTGCTGGTGTTTGGTGCTTGGTGCAGCCCAGCTCCCTGCCTGTGACGGGACAGCCCTGTGCCCCCAGCCCCGGTGCTCAGCACCCACCGGATGTGGTCCGTGGGGTGTGGGTGCCGGGGCGGGCAAGGGGCGTGTCAGGGGCTGCTGTGATAACTGCGGGCGCTGTGTGGGGCTGCGGGCACAGACGGAGCAGGGAGCAGGATGAGCCAAGGACCCCCACCCTGGGCAGCAGCCAGGCCCAGAGGCAGCGCCATGGGGTCCAGCAGCACCTGGGGCCTCCTCCGCACCCTCTGCATCCTCCTGGTGCTGGGCGGGCGCCTGTGCCCTGCCACGGCCCAGTGGTTTTACCTGGGCTCAGAGGACACCACCCCGGATCCCGGCACCAGCCTCACCACCCCCACCCTGGATGGAGAGGAAGGTAGGCAGGGTGCGATGGGGGCAGCACCCCAAATTCCTGCACCCCAGCATGGAGGGGGAACTTAGAGTGTGGAGGGTGAGGTGTGGGGTGCTGGGGTCTGGGGCTGCTGATGGCACTGCTGTGGCCATGGCAGGTGCTGGGAACTGGGAGTGCTGTGCCACCCCAGCCCCTCTCCAGCCTTGCCACCTTTTGCCCCATCACCTCTTTGCTCCTGCAGATGCAGAGACCAGCATGGAACCCACGGGGAAGGTGCTGCTGAGCAAACCCCCTCTGGCGAAGGCCCCCAGACGCCGGGACCACCTCGCCAGGGGAACAGCAAAAGGACCAGGCCATGCCCCACCACGCACACGAGGCCAGGTGCCTTTTTCTGGGCAGCATCCCCCTTCCAGCTCCTCCAGCCCTCCCAAAACTCCCCAGCTGCTGCCGGGCACCTTGCCATGTCCTTCCCCTTATCCGTGCCCTGCCTGCACACACCAGCCTGGGCACTGTGCCTTGCTCTAGCCCTGAGAGTGACTCCCCTTGGAAAGGAGCCACAGCAGCTCCTGGTGTCCCCCACATGGCACAGCCCCACAGCAGTGCTGGGGCTGGGCCCCCACCCTGGGCTGGAGGCAGCCACAACTGTGGGAGGGTCCCACCTGCCTCCCGGGACCCCCCGAACCCCACACTGAGCACTCCCTGTCCACCCCAGCAGCACCGACCCACGGCCACCCCAGAGATCTTCGAGGGGAGCGCGGTGGAAGAGGAGTTCCTGCAGATCCAGGTGGTGGAGGGGTCCTGGTCCCCAGGGGGATGAGAGGGGCAGCCTGGGATGGGCACCCTGGCAAGTGGGAGGGACTGGCAGGGAGGGACAGGGATGGTGCTCGGGGGTCTCACACTCAGCCCTTCCTCTCCTCCACACAGACGACAACAAAGGGGCTGCCCCGGGGGGTGCCCCCAGCCCCAGAGATGGACCCTGCTCTCCAGGTGAGGGGTGGGCACAGGGCACCCCTGTTGGACCCAACAGTCAGGTTCAGGTCCCTCAGCCCACCTCTCTCTCTCTCTCCAGGTGCACAACGGCTCTGGCTGTGTCTGCCCCGTGCGCCCTGGCCCTCCTGGCCGTGCCGGCCCTCCCGGCCCAAAGGTGAGGTGGTCCTTCCCAGGGAGGGGCAGGGGTGTGTGGGGGCCCACAGAGACACGCTGCAAGATGCTCTTTTGTCTATGCAAATCTCTTTTTGCTCAGGATTTGGAATGTGGCTTTGGGGTCTGAGTTGGGGGGTGACTCAGGTGGCCACGGGCAGGGGGGGTGCAGGTCCCCCTGGTGGGCTCCAGTGGAAGGAAGTGCCAGAAGCCCAGAGCCAGGGTCTGTCTTTCCTCAACAGGGAGAGAAAGGTGACCGAGGGTTCCCCGGAGAGAGAGGCCAGCCCGGAATCTCAGGAGACAGAGGGAAGTCTGGCAGCCCAGGACAGCCAGGTCACCAGGGTCCCCGGGGTCCCCCGGGTCCTCCTGGGCCCCCCGGGCCCCCGGGCCCCCCAGGCACCTGGGGAGCAAGGAGCCCACCCGCGCCTGCCGCCGTCCCCGAGGGGTTGGAGAACGAGGTGAGCGCCGGGGCGGGGACACGGGCGGGTGATGCCGGTGCCGCCCGCGGTGTCACTCCCGACGGGACCGGCGGGGACAGGGAGGGCTGGGGCACGCGGTCGTGCGGGTGGGCAGCCCAGGGGAGGGGGCCAGGGCATGGGACACGGCGGTTCACTGACCCTGCTCTCTCTCCTCTCCCTCCAACCTGACGAACAGCTGGGACCCTCCAGCCCTGTGGGAAACCCGGGACCCCCAGGCCCCCCCGGGCTGCCCGGCATGCCCGGACCCCCAGGCTACCCAGGCCATGATGGCCCCCCGGGGGTCCCTGGGCGGGAGGGAAAGCCGGGACCCCCCGGCCCTCCAGGGGCTGTGGGACCACCCGGTTTCCCCGGGGCTGAAGGAACTCCAGGGTCTCCAGGCTCGGCTGGGCCAGATGGACCCCCGGGGGCACCAGGGCTCCCAGGGCCTCAGGGTCCCCCCGGGGTGCCAGGGCACGAAGGACCCCCCGGTCCCACAGGACCTGCATCACTCCCTGGCAAACCAGGGCTCCGAGGGGAGCCAGGATTCCCAGGACTAAAGGTAAGGGCGTCTCAGCCCAGCCCATCCATGGCCCTGGGGTGGGACAGGGCATCCAGGTTCCCCAGGCCCTTGCCCTGCCCCGGGGGAGCAGTCCCCAGCACTGAGCCCTCGGAGGGCTCTGGGGCAGCCCCAGCCCTGCCACCGTGGGGCCTGGGGGCACACGGGGGCTCAGCCCCCACGCTCAACACCTTGTGCCGTGTGCCCATAGGGAGAGAAGGGTGAATACGGGCTGCCAGGCATGCCGGGAAGCCCTGGCCGGACTGGAGAGACAGGGCCCCCAGGCATGCCCGGTCCCATGGGGCCTCCAGGACCACCGGGGGACTACAGGGTGAGTAGGGGGTCCTGGGCTGCAGGTGCTGGGGTGGAGGCACCCCACGCTCATCCCAATGTCCTCTCCTTGCAGTGTGACTTGCGCCACGGAGGGCACCGTGGATTGGCTGGGGTACCGGGCCCCAAGGTGAGCTGGGCAGTGGGCACTGCGGGCAGGGGTCCTGGCAGGGGGTGAGCTGGGCAGTGGGCACTGCGGGCAGGGGTTCTGGCAGGGGGTGAGCTGGGCAGTGGGCACTGCAGGCAGGGGTCCTGGCAGGGGGTGAGCTGGGCAGTGGGCACTGCGGGCAGGGGTCCTGGCAGTGGGCAGGTGGTACCCTGGGGCATGAGGCACAGCACGGTGAGGGGGGCTGGGGGGCCAGGGGACCCCCAGAGCTGGGTGCTGACAGGATCTCTCATTTTCCTTCCAGGGAGAAAAGGGCGACCCCGGAGAGCCGGTTTGTAGCCACGAGCAGTGGCAGGGGGAGAACTGGCTGGGGGGTGTCCCCACCCCCACACCTGAGTGTGCACCCCTGAGTCTCCCGTGCTGCCTCTGCTCCCCCAGCACCCTTTTCCTCATCCTAGAGGCAGCACCGGAGACCCCAAATGGGCTGAGGCGCAGGGTGGGGGGCGAGTGACACCATTCTCTGAGGCACATGAGAACACACACGGGCACACACGTGTGCATACGTGTGCCAGCACACAGTGCACCCACACACACACCCAGCAGTCCCTGTCCCCAGCACCCAGCTCAGGCTCTAATCCTGCCTCTCTCTTTGCCTCACCCAGGGGTGCTGCTACAGGGAACAGGGGTGCAAACCAGGCCACCTCCCCTTCCCCAGCACTGGCAGCCAGCCCAGCTCCTGGGGGTCCATCAGAGGGTACCAGACGGTGAGTGCTCAGGGGGAGGGACCCCAGCCCGGCCTTGGGGACATGGATCACCCCACCAGCAACCCCGCAGGGCCCATAGCCCCAACTGGGGTGGAGGAATGGAGGATGGAGAGGGGGAGAATGGAGGGATGGAGGGTTGGAGGATGAAGATCAGTCTCAGTCTTTTCCCTCTGCCTCTGCAGGACAGCAAAGAGGAACCAGAGATTTATGGAGCGATCATCCCCCATGTGAGAGTCACTGCCTGGCTGGGGTCTGCACTGCCCCAACCTGGGGATGTTAAGCCCTGGGAGGGAACCGGAGTGGGAAGGACGAGGGGCAGCAGCAGGGTGTCTTATAGCTACCCTGCAAAAGGCAGCACCAAAACAGCCCAGTCTCCACACTGCTCTCCTTCAGGGTGTTCGAGGTCCTCCCGGCCCCCCCGGGCCCCCAGGCCCCCCTGGCCCACCAGGTCTCCTCTACCTCAACGTAAGGCCCAGCGCGGGTGTGCACACTCCTGTGTCAGAGCACACACACATGTGGGTGTGCACAGCACCAGGGCCCCCCCAAACCTGCCTGTCTTTGCTTCCAGAGGGTGTACCCGGTCCGTGCCCAGCCCCCCTGCAAGCAGCCGGTAAGCCATGGCCTCACTGTCCCTGAGAGTCCCCGTCCCCTCCCCATGCATTGGGAAGGGTGTCCCTGTCCTTGTGCCCAGCAGGAGTAACAGGTCCCATTTGCCTTCACAGGTGGCCCCAGACCCAGGCTGGGCAGCAGGTGAGGGAGTTTCCCAGGTGTTTCAGGGGCTCCAACCTCCTGAAAACACCTTTGTGAAGTCTTGCCTCCCTCCCTGGGTGTTGGGGCCATGTCGGCACAGGTCCCTGGCACCGCCGCTGGCTTTCACCCGCTCCCCCCGTGTCCCCGCAGGGCCAGCTCCCACGGGAGCACCCAGGCCCTGCGCTGGGACACCTTGTGAGCCCCCACCTTCTCTGGGCTCTCCAGATGCCGACACCCGTCAGACGGAGCCATCGGACTGCCGCACTGACCCCCGGGTGTGTCCTGGCTGCGGCCATGGGTGAGCCCCCCCAGCTCTCCCGGACCCCACAGCAGGGCCCTGACCCTCTGCATCCCCCCAGCGCCAGACATGGGTCTTCAGGTCCAAGGAGCTGATGATGAAGGCGAGCGGTGCCGTGCCCGAGGGGAGCCTGGTCTACGTGCAGGAGGGGAGCAGCGCCTTCCTCCGGACCCCCACTGGCTGGAGCCGCCTCCTGGTACTGTGGAGATCCCTCGAGGGGCTGGGGGGACAGGATCCAGAGCTGGATTTGGCACTGGGGCAGCAGACCCCCGGGGAAGGAGCAGGTTTCCCCTAACCTGTCCCTCTGCTCGTGTCATTGAGCAGCTGGAGGATTCGCGGTCGGTCTTGGCTGGTGACGACCCTTCTGCCTCCACCCCACGGTACCAGGTGAGAGACGTGTGAGCAGATGTGGGGCCTGCTCATGTCTCTGGAGGGGGATAGAGCCCTCCTCTGCCTGCCAGGGGGGACAGACACCATGGGACTGTTCTCTCCCTCCCCCTCTCCTCTCCTCTCCTCTCCATCCAGGAGGCAAAGCGGGTGCAGACAAGAGGTCCCAACACAGTGTCACCTGTGCAGTCCCCAATGGACTCGCTGGTGAGCCCTGCTCAGGGTCCAGCCGTGCTGGGAGGGACATGCCATGGGGGTGGGCTGGATGTCCGCAGGGCAGTGCCAGCCTGGCATGGAATCATGTTGGTCTGGAGAGGGTGTCACCCACCCATGGCACAGGGATGGGTGTCCCCAGACTGATCTGAGCTGTGTTATTCCAGGTCCAGAAGGAGGAGGGACAAGGGCTGCCCCAAATCCCACCAACCACCATCGCCCCACGGATCCCATCTGTAAGGAATGCCTGACCCCGGGGGTGGGAGAAGGGGCAGAGGTGCCCAGGGGCCCCCCAGCCCTGGCCAGCCCCCCCAGGAGCCTCCCACCCCCCGGGAAGGAGGGAGCAGAGCCCCAACACCTCCCCACTGTCCCCCAGCTCCGCCTGGCCGCCCTCAACGTGCCCCTGTCTGGTGACATGAGCGGGATCCGGGGTGCCGACCTGCAGTGCTACCGGCAGTCCCAGGAGGCCGGGCTGTACGGCACCTTCCGGGCCTTCCTGTCGGCCCCCACCCAGGACCTGGTGTCCATCGTCAAGAGGACAGACAGGACCCTCCCCATCGTCAACCTGAAGGCAGGTACCCCTGTCCCCAGGAGGGGCTGCGAGTGACAACCCCCCCTCCAGCCCCCAGTGAGCTGTGGTGGGTGTGGGACCCCTGCCCAGTCCTGCTCTGGGGCTGCTGCACCCCGGCCGTGCTCCGTGCTTTTGGGGAGCTGCCGGAACAGAGAGCAAGTTACTGTCCACACGTGGTGGGGACAAGGGCACCCCCTTGGCCCCCGGCTCAGCACCATGGTCTGTGCTCACAGGGGCAGCTGCTGGCCAAGTCCTGGAGCTCCCTCTTCGAGGGTCAACCTGGTGCCACCCCACGGGGTCCCATCTACTCCTTCAACGGGCGCAACATCCTGACGGATCCCCTCTGGTGAGTCCTGAACGGTTCCCCCGGCATGGGAGGGGAGTGGGGGGGGCTGTGGTGGGTCCCTCCCTGCTCAAACGCAGGAGCAAAGAGCTGGGTGTGCCCTGAGGCGCCCCACTGACCCCGTGCCCACCCGCAGGCCCCACCGGCTGGCCTGGCACGGCTCCACGGCGCGGGGGGGCCATGCCCGGCGCCGGGACTGCCAGGGCTGGCGTGGCTCTGGCGCGGCCGAGGGCATGGCCACCCCCCTGGGCCAGGGCCGGCTGCTGGCCGGGCACCGGCACAACTGCTCCACACCACTGGCCGTGCTCTGTATCGAGGTGGCCTTTCCCTACCGGCACATGTGGTGACAGTGGGGACACCGGGCCACACGGCCCAGGCAGCCCCATGGGCCTGGGAGCACTGTGGGCAGCGTTGGAGCTGTGCAGGAGCACCAAGGGGATGCCAGCCCCACAGCCGGGCTGTGTCATCCCTGTCTGTGCCATCCCACGGACCCCCGTGCCATGGGGCGATGCCAGGCTGTGCCCACAGCCTCCTTGCACCCACAGTGGTGCCGACACTGTCACTGCCCCAAAATAAAGACATGCAAATGTTGTTTTTTATGACACTGTGCTCTGCTCTGGGGGGACATGGCTGGCTGCAGGGAGGGGCCAAGGAGACATGCAGCCACCTAGGAATGGGGAAAGGGGCTGGAGGAGGGGTTGGGAGTGGGCTCCAGTCCCCTTGGGATTGGCAGAAACTGGGAGGGGATACTGCGGGATCAGGGATGGCACAGGGCTCCATGTCACTGAGGTCAGCGTTGTGTCCCCAGAAGCTGAGTGTATCCTATCCCTCTGAGTCCCAGTGTGTCCATGGGACTGCCCAGCATATCCCAGTGATTCCCAGTGTGTCCCAGTGGGTCCCCAGGGCCTGTTCCCTGAATGCCAGCGATTCAACTTGCCCTGTGTCCCAGTGTATCCCAGTGATCCACACTGTGTCCCAGTGTATCCACGTGGGTCCCTGGGGCTGGCCCAGTGTGGCCCGGTGTACCCCAGTACATCCCGGGCTCGCCCAGTTTGTCCCAGTCCATCCCAGTCGCTCCCTACCCGAAGGTAACGGGCCCTCGCTGTGCCCGCCCCCTTCGCTCCTCTATTGGCCGGTCTCGCTGCCCATCCCGCCGCTCTCCCTCCCGAGTGGCCGGTTTGAATGCGCGGAGCGGTCTCTGATTGGACAGGATGAAGGAGGGCCCTCGAGCCGTGTTCCCGCCCCAGAGCTGTGATTGGCGGCCCGCGGGGCCACGCGGGCGGGGATTGGCGGAGCGTTTCGGCGGGACGAGCGGAGGTTTGAAGGGGCCGTTGGCGCCGCCGTCGCCGCCTCAGCCGCCGCCGTCATGGAGATCGCGCAGCCCCCGTCGCCCCTCCGGGTGAGTCCGGCGACCGACGCCGACCCTGCTCGGCGACCCCCGACCTCGCGGGCCTTCGGGTATCCCCCCGCCATCGTCCCCCTCGGTGTTCCCGGCCGCGCCTTAGCTCCCGCCGGACCCCCTCGGAGTCTCCCCCAAACCCCCTCAGCGCTCCAGGGCCCCCTCAGGGTCTCCCTGGCCCCCCTCAGGGTGATGCCGGGCCCTATCAAGGTCTTCCCAGGCCCCTTCAGCCGTCGCGGAACCCTCCTCAGGGTCTCACCAAGCGTTCCCCAACACCTTCCCCCCCCCCCCCCCCTGGGCTCCCTCAGGTTCTCCCCAAAACCCCCTCAGGGTCTCCCCGAGCCTCTCTCGCCGCCGCTTCCCCCAGCCCCCCGTTCCTCTGCGATTTTCCCCATCCCTGTTCTCTCGGGCCTCTCCCCCGGCCTGACCCCTCGTTCCCCCTCCCCTTTCCCCCCACAGCCCGCGGACGAGAACGCCCGGACGCACAAGGCCGATGGCCCCAAGAAGCTCTCGGTGGAGCACATCTACCAGAAGAAGACGCAGCTGGAGCACATCCTGCTCCGGCCGGACACCTACATCGGCTCCGTGGAGCTGGTCACCCAGGTAAGGGGCAGGGGGGTGCGGGGCTGAGCCCCCCGAGCACCTCAGGGCGGGTGAGGGGGGCATTAACAGCTGTTTACAAAACACGAAATATCTACTTATCAACCGCAAAACATCTGCTTCCCAAACGGGTGGCACAGAAGAGAGGCTGTACCCTGGGCACTTATGAAGTTCTTCCTTTTTTTTCCCAGCAAATGTGGGTTTTTGATGAAGACATTGGCCTCAACTGCAGACCTGTGACCTTCGTGCCTGGCTTGTACAAAATCTTTGATGAGATTCTGGGTAAGGTGACAGATCTCCCGAGTCAGTGAGTGACAGGTTATTAACGGGGGTTGAGTGCCTACAAAACTGGATCTAAACAGAAGAACTTATCAAGAACTCATTAGCCCTACTTAATAGCGAGCCATTTGTGGGAAACAAAAAAAAACACCCCAATTTCAAAAATCCAATTACAAACCTGATTTCATCCAGCCCAGACTTCTCCCTTTTCTGTTAATGGTTGGACTTGATTGGTTGACAAAGGTCATTTCCAACCTGAATAATTCTGTGATAACTTGTAGAATTCCTCTTTGCAATTCACAAAATATTTTCATGCCAAGATGATTATTAGTGGCATTGCATTGATCTTTTGTGCTCATTTTACTGAAACACTTCATAGTTCTGTCTCGATTTGGAATGTAATAAAGTAACAATATTCTCTTTCTAGTCAACGCCGCAGACAACAAGCAGAGGGATAAAAACATGTCGTGCATTAAAGTCACAATTGATGTGTAAGTTTTATTTCATTGTTGTTTGTTGCCTTCAGCTGTTCTGCAAAGCTGGGGTGGCACTGCAGGGGCTGATCTGAGTTACCCCAAACTTAATCCACTAGCTCTGAAAGCCTTTCTCTGTGCTCAGTCCCCTGGTCTCTTACAGAGGGCTGACAGGGCAAACGGCTGCTTTTTACTTGCTGCTGTTTTCCATCTCTTCCTGCCTTTTTATCCTGATTGAGCACAGACAGAGGGTTTTGTGGCGTGTCCATTTTAGAGCAGATCTGGGGATTTCTGTGTTGCCTGTCCCCCCTCTGCTGGCAGCTGCTGCACTTGCTGAGCACAGATTTGCTCCCGATGAAATGGTGCCTTTCCCCAGAGCCTTTCTATAACTTGCTTCACAGCTCAGTCGTTTGCAGCCTTAAAAACACGTTTTTTGTGTTGGATTTTTTTTTCCCTCCCCTTAGAGAGAATAACACAATCAGTGTGTGGAATAACGGGAAAGGTATCCCAGTTGTTGAGCACAAAGTGGAGAAGGTCTATGTGCCTGCTCTGATCTTTGGACAGCTGCTGACTTCCAGCAACTACGATGACAACGAGAAGAAAGTCACAGGTGGGGAAGAAGTTGCATACTGAGCTTGTAGAACGTTGTTGCTTGTTGACAGTTGCCTTTGGATTGTGCTGAAGTGACCAAACTCCTGTTAGTCTGGGATTCTTTTGGATAGCTTTGGACAAAGATAGTAATACAAGTCTGTGTTCCTTCTAATTCCAGGGGGGAGGAATGGTTATGGAGCCAAACTGTGCAATATATTCAGCACGAAATTCACTGTGGAAACTGGATGTCGTGAATACAAAAAGTTATTCAAGCAGGTAGGAGCACTTCTCATTTCAGAGGGGTTATACCTGAGGTTTTCAGATGAGACCCTCAGGTTTTATTTCAAAAATCTAGGCACACCTTCAGTGCATTATGTTTAGAGTAAATTTGACCCACAAAATATAATTCAAAGGAACAATGAAATTAGCAGACAGCACCAAAATCTGGTTTTCAACCAGAGTTTTTGTTAAATTTGAAAGTATTTAAAACTCAAACCAGCTTACTGTTTTTAAAAACTACAGTAGTTACTTGCGTGTGCTCGACTTGCAACTCACAAAAGCTCCTTTCCTCAGACCTGGACAGACAACATGGGCAAGGCTGGAGAAATGAAGCTGAAATACTTTGATGGAGACGATTACACCTGTGTCACTTTCCAACCTGATCTGTCCAAATTCAAGATGACAGTTCTGGATAAGGACATTGTAGCACTGATGTCTCGAAGAGTGTATGATATTGCTGGGTCCACAAAGGATGTCAAAGTTTTCCTGAACGGACAGAGGCTGCCTGTAAGTGAGCATTGAAAAGAAACGCAAATACCTGCATTTCTCGTGCCATTTAACCGGTGAGGTTGTGTCAAAGCCATTCCTGTCACTGCACACAGCAAAGGAGGCATTCCTGTACCCACTTTGCAGGAGGATGTGCATTAAGTATTTATGGGAGCTGTTATCAACCAGTTGTCTGCTCTCATCCGTGTGCAGGTGAAAGGATTCCGCAGCTATGTGGACCTCTATCTGAAGGATAAGGTCGATGAAACTGGGAATGCACTTAAGGTTATCCACGAGGAAGTCAATTCCCGGTGGGAAGTGTGTTTGACTTTGAGTGAGAAAGGCTTCCAGCAAGTCAGCTTTGTCAACAGCATTGCCACCACAAAGGTAACCTCTCAGTGTGTTTGGTCAAGCCAGCACCAAATTCTTCAACATTAATATTCTTGGCTATTTCTAAGCGTATGTATTCTAGTAAAAAACAGTTAATATTGCAAAGACTGTGCTAAAAGTTTTCAATAGATATGTGTGGTTTTGTGGGGTTTAATGGCCTCACCCCGGGTCCTTTTCCTGTTTTCTTTAGGGTGGCAGGCACGTTGATTACGTCGCTGACCAGATCGTGACCAAACTCATCGATGTGGTGAAAAAGAAGAACAAAAATGGAGTTGGGGTGAAGCCTTTCCAGGTACAACATCAGAATTTCCCCAGTGGGAAACACAACTCGAGCGTTACTGCCAATTGTAACTCCAGCTTAAAGCAGAACTGTGTTGGTTTTATTAATAACACATTTCCCATTGTACAGATAGTAGATAGGGGATTGCTGATTATAGAAGTCTCACGTTGTCTAATTTAAGGCAATTCTCTTTGCTTTGCTGATGTATTTTGTAATCACTCTTAAGTCAGTGTAGATGCACTAAAACCCAGTACCTGTTAGAAAACACCCATTTAGGCTGAGAGATGCCAATTCCTTGAGATCCCAAATCATGCTCGTGAATGTTCATTAGCTGTCCAAAATTCTTCCAGACCATTTAGGAAAATCCCAAACCCTGCAGTGATAACTGAGTCTTTCCTCACTGTGTGATTGATGGGTGAGCTGAGCCTGTACAGAGTGTGATCCTTGCTGTATTTAACTACAGGTGAAGAACCACATGTGGATTTTCGTGAATGCCTTAATTGAAAACCCAACCTTTGACTCTCAGACTAAGGAGAACATGACTCTGCAGGCAAAGAGCTTTGGGTCCAC